TGGTTTTTGATAATGAGATCACCTACTTATTTTTTTCCAATTTAAGATGTACGTGTGTGATAAAGATGAATTCTTTGGTGATGCTTGTTAGAGATTTACAATAACTCCCACATAACACACGAGGCGAATTACATTTTGATTCACTGCTTTACTGTTTCAAAGTCTCATTCAACTCTGTATGTGAATGATACGATCTGTCTCAATATTTCAGTCCTCGAACTCATTCTCTGTCTATAAAATATCTAGTTTCTTTTTGTATCTGTCTATCTAACCTTATCTATTTGCCCGTCTGTCTATGTATCTTTCTACCTGTCTGTCTATTCATCTATTTAACTTAACTATCTATCTATCTATCTATCTATCTGTCTGTCTGTAATGTATGTATGTATGTATGTATGTATGTATGTGTGTATGTATGTATGTATGTATGTATGTATGTGTATGTATGTATGTATGTATGTGTGTATGTATGTATGTATGTATGTATGGTTATTTTTCCATCTCCCATTCAGTCTGCCTGGCACTACCCCCTGACTCCTACTACAGGTATTACTTTAACATGAAGCATTCGGTGCGTGACGACACTTGACCGACCTTGACGCCTTGACAGACTTTCCCTGCAACTCCTTCACAGCTGAGACAAGTGCTGCAGCCTACCTCACAGCTGAGACAAGTGCTGCAGCCTACCTCACAGCTGAGACAAGTGCTGCAGCCTACCTCACAGCTGAGACAAGTGCTGCAGCCTACCTCACAGCTGAGACAAGTGCTGCAGCCTACCTCACAGCTGAGACAAATGCTGCAGCCTACCTCACACAATGAGACAAGTGTTGCAGCCTACCTCACAGCTGAGACAAGTGCTGCAGCCTACCTCACAGCTGAGACAAATGCTGCAGCCTACATCACAGCTGAGACAAGTGCTGCAGCCTACATCACAGCTGAGACAAGTGCTGCAGCCTACCTCACAGCTGAGACAAGTGCTGCAGCCTACATCACAGCTGAGACAAGTGCTGCAGCCTACATCACAGCTGAGACAAGTGCTGGTGCCCACCTCACAGCTGAGACAAGTGCTGCAGCCTACCCACATGCTGAGACAAATGCTGCTACCTCACACATTGAGACAAGTGTTGCAGCCCACCTCCACTGAGACAAGTGCTGCAGCCCACCTCACACCTGACACAAGTGCACCAGCCCACCTCACAGCTACCATAAGTGCAGCAGCCCACCACACAGTTGCCATAAGTGTAGCAGCCCACCTCACACTTGACATAAGTGTAGCAACCCACCTCACACTTGCCTTAAGTGTAGCAACCCACCTCACACTTGCCATAAGTGTAGTAGCCCACCTCACACCTGACACAAGTGCAGCAGCCCACCTCACACTTGCCATAAGTGTAGTAGCCCACCTCCCACTTGCCATAATAACAGCCCACCTCACACTTGCCTTAAGTGTAGTAGCTCCCCTCACACAAGTGCAACCCACCTCACACTTGCCATAAAGTGTAGTAGCCCACCTCCCACTCTGCCATAATAACAGCCCACCACACTTGCCTTAAGTGTAGTAGCCCCTCACACCTGACACACAAGTGCAGCAACCCACCTCACATGCCATAAGTGTAGTAACCCACCTCACACTTGCCTTAAGTGTAGTAGCCCACTCACACCTGACACAAGTGCAGCAGCCCACCCCACACTTGCCATAAGTGTAGTAGCCCACCCTCCCACTTGGCCATAATAACAGCCCACCCTACACTTGCCTTAAGTGTAGTAGCTCCCCTCACACAAGTGCAGCAACCACCTCACACTTGCCATAAGTGTAGTAGCCCACCTCCCACTTGCCATAATAATAACAGCCTCCACCTCACACTTGCCTTAAGTGTAGTAGCCCCTCACACCTGGACAAGTGCAGCAACCCACCTCACATGCCATAAGTGTAGCAACCCACCTCACACTTGCCTTAAGTGTAGCAGCCCACCTCACACTTGCCTTAAGTGTAGTAGCCCCTCACCTGACACAAGTGCAGCAACCCACCCTCACATGCCATAAGTAGCAACCCACCTCACACTTGCCTTAAGTGTAGTAGCCCACTCCTCATTAATTTGCCTTAAGTGTAGTAGCCCCTCACACCTGACACAAGTTTCAGCAACCCACCTCACACTCTGCTAAGTGTAGTAGCCCACCTCCCCACTTGCCATAATAACAGCCCACCTCATTAATTCTGCCATAAGTGTAGTAGCCCACCTCACACTTCTGCCATAATAACAGCCTACCTCACACTTGCCATAAGTGTAGTAGCCCACCTCACACTTGCCATAACAACAGCCCACCTCACACTTGCCATAAGTGTAGCAACCCACCTCCACTTGCCATAAGTGTAGTAGCCCACCTCCCACTTGCCATAAGTGTAGTAGCCCACCCTTTTCACACACGACACAATCGCAGCAGCTCACCACAGCTACCATAAGTGCAACAGCCCACCTCACAGCTCTCATAAGTGCAGCCAACCTCACAGCTGCCATAAGTGCAGCAGCCCACTTCACAGCTACAGTAAGTGCAGCAGCCCACCTCACAGCTGCCATAAGTGTAGCAACTCACCTCATACTTGCCATAAGTGTAGCAGCCCACCTCACAGCTGATACCATGTTCCACACACCTGCCATACGTGTAGCAGTCTCCCACACCCTTACCATACATATAGCTGCCTCTCCTTCACCTACCATACTTGTAGCAGTCTCCGCCACTCCCACAATACCTATAGCAGTCTCCTCCACACCTGTCATACTTGTAGCAGTCTCCGCCACTCCCACAATACCTATAGCAGTCTCCTCCACACCTGTCATATTTGTAGCAGTCTCCGCCACTCCCACAATACTTATAGCAGTCTCCCCCACACCTACCATACTTGTAGTAGTCTCCCCCACACCTGTCATACATGTAGCAGTCTCCGCCACTCCCACAATACTTATAGCAGTCTCCCCCACACCTACCATACTTGTAGTAGTCTCCCCCACACCTGTCATACTTGTAGCAGTTTCCGCCACACCCACAATGCGTGTAGCAGTCTCCCCCACACCTACAATACGTGTAGCAGCCTCCCACACACCTACCATACTTGTAGCTCACTCCCACAATACCTATAGCAGTCTCCCCCACACCCGTCATATTTGTAGCAGTCTCCGCCACTCCCACAATACCCATAGCAGTCGCCCCCACACCTGCCATACGCGTAACAATCTCCCTCACACCAGCCACCATACTCTTTGCCACACCTATCAGAGGTTTAGTAACCTCCCCATAGCTGACTCAAGTATAGCAGCCTCCCTACACCTGACACAAATGTAATAGGATCCTCCACACCTGCAAAAAGTGTAGAAGCATCCTCAATACCCGACTCAAGGATAGAAACCTTTCCAGAACTAAATAAACCTTTAATGTATGTGACGCTAATGTAACAGCTTCCCCCAGACCTTTCCCAGAGTAGAGAGAGAGAGAGAGAGAGAGAGAGAGAGAGAGAGAGAGAGAGCCTTATAATGTGTCTCGAGAGCACAGTAAACAAAGATAATGTGTGTTCAACGTAAACAAAGTAATGCTGTATGGGTGATGAGATCTTAGTGGATATGAATAAGTCGTTGTGACGGCGTCCTTTTATTCACAAGATTGAAGGAAGTTGAGCTGCTTTCTCTAATCTCAGAGTTATACAGGCCAGTAGATGGACGATCCTAGATGCACTTTTATCGTGTATTGTTACGAGAGTGTGTGACTTGTTCTGCTCATTTTACGTAACATTTAATGATGACTTGTGAGGAAATTCTGAAGAAAGTGTAATTATATCTGGGCAGGATTAAACAATAAACACAGATATGAAACAACGTTGAGTAATAGAATAGAGAATTGTATTTCATTCTTTTATAATTTTACTTGTGGAGAAATTTCGTACATAAACAATCTTGATATATTGGCTTATATCCTTTTTCAATTCACGTTTCAGCTGAAGTATTACTATAATTCATACTATGATTTGCGAGATACATACAAGGACACATATTCATCTGCTCTGTCATGTATCGTGTGTATCTAATCCAACAGAGGCGGTTCAGGGACAGTGCAGTAACTCTTAGTATAGAGCATCTTCAGTCCTTGCACATCCTCGTATTCTACTTATTGTTACTGAGTTGTCATATACATTCGCAACCTTTTAATTTAGATTGAGCTTCATTCCTGATCTTCCTTTTAATTAGAAACCTGATGTATTGGTTCAAATCACTGATATAAATAGTTCAAAATCTAAAACTATAGGAGTAGCAGAAAGAGAGTCACCCGTGTACTGTTTCAGTCTACAAATCATAAATATCAGAGTTTAAACCGCTGATGTACAGTCCCAGTTCAGATTCAATGTCCATAGGTTTCTTTCCCCAACTGAAGTCCAGCGGGATCCAATTTTCCAGTGAAGAGGATGGATTCTATCACTGATGACCCCTGATCGATGCCACGTTAAGATATACAATTTCTTACAATTATCTGTCCCCCACTGAGGTACAGCAACGTATTAGTGATAGACCATTAATTTATGACTTGTATTTACGTGTAACTTTATATGACACTATCTAACACGAGTCTCATAAATGTAACTTAAAAACTCTACCGCCGTCACTTGCTAGACTGTGCCCCATGTGGATATAATTCATCTAGTTTCTTATTTTTTTAGCCACGGTGGTAAGATCTTTTTAATGAAACACATAATTCTTCTGTAAACCGTAACTACAACTGAAAAACTGACGAATAGTTCTTTACCAATGTATGAAAATGAATATCAACGTTGCGTCTCATCTTTCAAAATATTGTACATTTTTCAAAGTAAAGTCGTGACTTACCTTCTCACATGCACAACACACACACACACACAAATCACTATTGCTCACTCATTACTGTATTTGCACTACAATACGACAGGAGAGGCAGGCAGTCTCCCAACCACCATAACAATAGAAGCACGTGACGCCCACCTTCACTAAAGAGCCCAGTAGATCCTGCCTTCCACGACGTCCACAGACACACTGACTTGCAAGGCCGCCCGGACTCCTGGTTTTGAGGCAACGCTGCCAACGTTGTATCGGCTCGTCGATCGTGTTACGGACCTGCTCTATTTTTACTCGGTGTCTTACGAGTTTCCGGTCATTCAGAAAAGTCATGATGTAGCTTATTTTAAAGAAGACATCATTCCCCTTTAATTCCAGTCTTTTAGATAATTACAGGCCATTATTCCTCAGTAAATCCAGTCTATCAAAGGACAACATTTTTCTCAAAGAAATCTGATAGTGGATTCTATGGCAGGAGAATGTACCTGGCTTGGCCACTATACATTCACTATGAAAGTGATAAAATAACGGAAACTGGCGTATCTTGTTACAGACAAGGACGTCTCGCTGTAGTGTGGTCAAGTGGCCCCGCCGGTCTGTAACTAACTACGTACTACCTATAAATGTTGTTTTTGTGTTAAGTATATTTTTATTTACTACTTAAGATTTTAGAATAGACTCTGAGAAAGGTTGACGGTTCGCAGCTCAGGTTGTATTACGTTACCATATGTCCTCGAGGAAGCCCCTGAATAGTACTGGTCATTCTAATCCTGAGAAACAAACACAATTATGTACGGTCGTGTAACCAAATTCTTCTATGCTCGAAATAAGTGTTAACAGTTTACGTATCTGTCTATAATATATATTTATCTCTTATGCGAGACTAGCGATTATTATCTCTCTCATATACACAACTCGTCTCCTTTCACTCTCATCCGTCTCCTTTCACTCTCATCCGTCTCCTTTTACTCTCACCGTCTCCTTTCACTACCATCCATCTCCTCTCACTATCACCCGTCTCCTTTCACTCCCATCCGTCTCCTCTCACTCTCACCCGTCTACACCCGTCTCGTGCTCGTCTCCGCCCACCCATGTCCGTTTTCTCCCGAACTCCCGTCCACTTCCTCTTACGAGTGTCATGTTGTAACCGCTAGATAGACTAAGATTAGGATATAAGTACCTCTGGCAGTATGTTCCTCAAGCAGATGTGAACAAGACTAAATGTAAAGTGTGTGGCCAGACATATGGCCACACACTTGAACACTACGTCCTCGACTGTGTGAAGATAAAATCTTTTAGGGACGGGTCCAAGCACACTGTGTGTGAAATGGCACAACACTTCATCTCTAATGGCAAGATAGCCGACATATTAAGATTGTATCCACTTTTTGCACTTAGTAACTATATCAGTTCCCATGTCTAGAACCAAATACACAAAGTGCTTGAATACCTCTTACGCAGATGTGAATAAAAAAGTGTGCGGCCAGACACACTGCCTCACACTCACGCAGTTGTGAATAAGTTACCTTTTATGTATAGAACTAACAAATAATGTATTTGAAATACTGTGTACCATTCAGTGCCATAATATCCTGACCATGGGGGTTAATTATGCTGACCTTTTGAAAACCATACTCTGTATTCCTATTGCGCTATCGTTCACAGGAGGAGTTTGTGCACAATATACTAGTCGCTGTAAGCGGCAAAATTCTAAATTCAAATTCTCGACCCAACCACGCCCCTCTCCACCCACTCACCTCCATTTTTCTCTCCCTTCCACGCCCAAACTCACCACTAATACTTTCCCCCTCCACATTCCGTAAGGGGTGTGGTCAGTACATAGTTGTGGCCGCAGGAACTTAAGGACGATCACGTACTGACGAACAAGGTTAATCAATAGTTCGTGGAAAAATTCTCTGAAAATGCTTTAATGTTCTTTTGTATTTTTAATAATGTGGTCTTAATTGTCCTTGTTTTCTCTTCTTATATTTTCAAGATATTTTATATAAAAAACAAGATCCATGTGTGTGTGTGTGTGTGTGTGTGTGTGTGTGTGTGTGTGTGTGTGTTAAAGTTAGTAGTCGTGAATGTAAACTTGATGTCAAATACATCTCCTATATAAACCAGAAGAATTTTTGATAACATAATTCGTGTGCAAAAAAAAAAAATCCAACATTTCACCATTATTTTTTGAGATGTCAGAAAGCCACCTCGTAAGTGTCGTAGGCGTGGTCTTCTTTGCACTGTCACCCGAGCGTGTAACAACTTTAAGTACGATGCGAAATACAAAAAAAAACAAAAACAATTCAGTGTGGTAGATAGGAAAGGTAAAAAAAAAATAATAATATTCTCTTAAGGTAAAATATATAAATGAATAGCGTTCTTTCGTTGTCAGGAAGATGAGGAGAACGTTGTATGTGTTTGTGTTGTGGTGTCTATCGATCACATAAGATTATATAATCATCTATGGGTAAAGTTACTGAATAAGAGAATTTAGGAAACGTTGGGTGAAATTCTTTAATAACTTGGTTAGTTTGAGCCTGAGGGCGTAACTGTAAGAGCCTTTGTATTAAATTGCAAATAAACTGGTGCACATAGGAGACGCCCATTACATTGTCCAGTCTGTCCTGAACACCCACGTCTCTTTTACTGGTTTACTCGTTAGCTGGAAGGTCTTTGCTTTTGTGTGTGTGTGTTCAGTATTAGCTTCTTAGTTTCTGTTGTTTCTTGTAATTTTTTTTTTGTAAATTGTAAGAATCTAATTAATCAATACTTTTTGTGTCTTAGCGTTCAGTTTTAGCCTTTCTTTAAAACGCTGTGTTATATATTATCAGCAAGAGTTACTGAAGGTGTAATATTCAGCTTATACAATCTTCCTCGTGCGTGCTTACTGAACTGTTAAATAATGTTGTGTATCCAGGTGAGGTGCGTTAGGCAATACCTCCCATGGTTACACACACACACACACACACACACACACACACACACACATATACACACACATATATATAAACACACACACATAAAAACATACATACACACACACATATATATAAACACACACACATAAAAACATACATACACACACACACACACACACACACGTGCATGAAATCTCGTGTCATTCACCTCTTGTGTAATAAAACTGCAGGAGCTCCACCCACTGATACGTCACTCCAAACTAAAATCCGATGAATGTATTATATTTACGTGTGAGAGTGAAAAGTGAAACACCAGACGTAGTTGACAGCTCGTGGCGGCGACGATTTTAATTCTACGGAGTTGCGTTGCCCGATGACTCAGTAGAATTGTAATGATGTCTACTGATGGAAAAGTGGCCCAGCTATTATTTCAACCACCTACTGTACTTCTAAGCTGAAATGGCCATTCATTATTGTAGTGTGAGGTGTGTTATTGAACTGTACTTGGCTTGGCTTCTTGCGCGCTATACAATGTTTGTGATCTGCAGTTAACAAAATATGTCTGTCTGTCTGTCTGTCTCACTCTCTCTACGGTAAAAGTCTGCAATGAACTCACATCATGTCGCTCACATGCTGAGTCTTGTGGCTGACGACCAGTGATTGGTACTCTGGTAAAGAATGAAACAGCTGGTTTTTGTTATGGTGATGTTGACTTCTCATGGGACGATAAGTCATCTGATGTTGATGAAAGTAAACGAAGGGAATATATATGTTATTGATACTACTACTACTACTATTACTACTACTAGTACTACTACTACTACTACTAGAGCGAATTATTGATAAGTGTTGCAATAGTAGAGCTGTTCTTGTAGTATTTTGTGCGAGGTCGTATGGGATTGATGTGGTTGTGGTGTCGAGAAGCAATTCGTCGATGAGAAACTCAGGTGGCGGAAGGTGACGGTGGCGAGGATGGGGTAGAATCTTTGTCTGACGGGTGAGGTCACGATAATGGTTAGAGAGCGAGGAGAGGGCCAGTGTACCGAGTGCCTCTTGATAAATGGAGTAAGAAGGATAGACATATTGCATGCCCTTTTGTACACTCACTATAATTTTTTTGGTGTGTGTGTGTGTTACAGGCAGTGGAGGTGTAGGAGAGTTTAGGAAGTTTGAAGGTTTTTAATGCTGCGTTCCTGTACACAGACGCAGGAAATTCAATGGTTCTGAGACAACGAAGAAGGCGGAGATGATAGCACGAAGATTTGATGATAGTGCTGACATGCTCTATTCATCTCAGTTTGTTCACCTCTAACGAAGCTGAGGAGTTTCGTAGAGTTAACAAGCAGGAGTATGTTGAGGCCCATTGAGATACAAGGAGGAGACGTATGACCATGGTCTTGGTACAAGTATGTCACGTACTGGTCGTGTATGGTTGAGCAACTTAATCGTGGTGTGGGTTGCGGCTGTCTACACCTGTAGACTACAGGGTGTTCTGGTGGCGATTATAATGACTCCGTTTACTACAACACCACCTGTAGGTTTGGTCAGTGGACCCGCAGACCGCATGGCTTATTATGGGAATTTTCGTTCACACACGCACACACACACACACTCATATATATATATATATATATATATATATATATATATATATATATATATATATATATATATATATATATATATATATATATATATACAGGGTATGATAACTTTTAATTATATAGCTCAAGTACATAAAAGAAGGGTATTTTCATTTTAGGTGACAAGGTTAAGTTAGGTCCAGTGACCAAATCGTACAGTGGCCAAATCGTACACATACATCTAAAGCCGAAAGTAAAAATGCCGAGACTTCCATAACTCAGTCAAACAGACAATTAGAGGGATCCACATCACTCTCCTACATATAGCATCTGTGCCAAGCATGATAGAGTTTATTCTATAATCTTATGATTACACACACACACACACACACACACATGAGTGATTGACAATGCCTCTTACTACAGCTTGGGGGCAGATGGAAAGGAGGAGAAGGAAGAGAAGTTGGAGGGGGTAGGGGAGGGGGAAGAAGAGGAGACGAAGGGGGAGAATGGAGAAGGTGTAGGGGAAAGAAGGGTTGGAGAAGGAAAAGTGGAAGACTGAGAGGTTGAGTGGAAGCAGGCATTATGTAGTGAATAGAAGGACAAGGATGAAATCATGGGTGTGGATAAATTTTCTGGACCTTCTTCATTTCTCTTCGGCCGCCACAACCTTGCTGTTGTGTACAGTATATGGATGGTTCACACGGAGAC